AACAGATCATCCTCATCTGCTTCATCTCCTCCGTCAATCACGGCATCTTCATTTGCTTCATCTCCTCCGCCGAGCACCTCCTCCTCATCTCCTCCACCGCTCCTCTTCTTTTCCTGCCTCCACTGAGCAGAAACAGCAGCAGAAATAAGAATCTGCAACAGCTCATCGAACATATCGTCAAACACTGAAAAAAGTGTGATTTTAGGTTGACCGGTTGGACCGGTCGGGTGAACCGGTTCAACCGGTTGAACCAGACCCGGTGGCCAAAACGGGTCAGCAACCGGGTCGGGTACAAAAACATTGCCCTTCTCACATGGCTAATAGTATAAAAATCATTTTATAGTTCAGCAACAGTCCACCCTATTTTCTTGGTTAAATACTATTTTTAATCCTTTATCTTAATAAGTTTATAAGTTTTAATCTTTCACCTTATATTATAACAATTTTAACTCTTTACTTATACGAATTGAAAAAAGTAACCCTTACTTAATATTAGATTATAACGTTTTGTTAGTTTTATTAGCTGAATTTAAATTTCATGTTTTCTTTTTTTATTTTTTTGGGTTTTTCGCCCAGTATCTAAAGTTTCGTCTCGATTAATCTAGACTGACTCGCGTCGCGCACTTGAAAACGATGAGTGAGTCTTTCAATGAAGGCTGTTGCATACACAATGTCTCGAACTCGAAACCTTATTTAAGTTGGAATAAACTGCTTACCACTTGATCCAACCCTTCGTTGGTCTAAATTTTATGTTTTCAGTTAGCTGAGTAGAAAGGCTCATTGATCAGTATGCATACATTATTTTACTCCTAGAATAAAAATATTCTTTTTGCTGAAAATAATAATAATAAATATAGTATATATAATTTTATCATTAAATCACATAACTAATAATATAAAAATCATTTTATAGTTCAACGACAGGCCCTTCTCCATGGTTTTAAAACCCGGCCCGGCCTGGTCGGTTGAACCGGTTGAACCGGACCCGGCTTAAAAACGGACCGGTTTCATGCATTGGCCCGTTTTGCAAGTTGGCCCGCGTTGGCCCGCGTTAGCTCGCCAGACCCGCTCCAAACTCCTAGCCCGTCCCACCCGC